GGTAATTATGAAATATTTTTTTAACATACTGAATTGTGTTCTTGAGAAATATTTATAAAACATCTGAGGATCTGGCTGAATATTAACATTTAAAAAATACAATTATTATCCATAAGAATTGTTCTAGTCACATGAACATAATTTTGTTATGGGTGAAAACACATCTCCACTGAGTGGAGACCACTAGAGAGTTTCAGTATGGGGTGAAATTTACATCTGTGCTGAGAGCCAACCCAGGAGGCAGACACTGCCAACAAATGTCTTTGCTCTGTAAACAATTTACCAAGGACAGGAACCAAATATATTGCAGGTGAAATTCTCTATTGTGCAGGGGTCCTGCACAGGTCTTCATGTTATACAAGTCCTACTTAAATACTACTCCAAAGTTGCACAGATCTACTGCACAGGCAAGAAATTTCTCTTGGAAGAATTCCTTGAGCCCTTTGAAAAGGATGTACTTCGATAGCATCAATCATAGTCTCTTAAGCAATAAATCTTGTGCTGGCCTCTGCACAGGAGTGGGCACACCTTGCAGATTATCTCTCCTGTTTTGCAGAAATGTTGGAAAACCTACAATGCTTCAGAGTTTCCATTATGCAGACTGGATTGACATTGCATATATACAAACTTCAAGACAGTGTGTAAACACATTAGTTACTGAAATGGTCAAGACAAAAGGGACATGAATACTTTATGTTTAGGTATTCACAACTTCTGGCCCCATGCTGAAATCCTCATCCCACTGAAATAGTTGAGAGACATTACTGACCTTGGTGAGGCCAATATCTCAGCCCATCTTTTCAACTAATAGTTACTTCTCATTCCTAGCCTGTCTTCTAGCCCTATCTCTACCTCAGACTCTATTAGTGAAATTTCTCTGTGTCAGACTTCTCAGAAACCTCTCCCATTCTGAAGAAAAAAGTTCAAAACAATGAGAATCACCCTGCATCCTCACCTGGCTCACAATTGTGGTATAGGGTTTCAGGGCACATATCCTCAAAAGAAATCAGGTGGCAAGTACCCCAAATGCTACTTACACGTCAACAAAATTCTTCTGTATTCTCCTGTCCCACACCCCAGCACCCAAATTCCTGGCACCTTGGCCACATGCACCTAAGCATCACTACCACCTCATGGGAATGAGCTGCCCAGATCTGCAGATTATGCCAAAGACTGAGAATATCAAAGTAGCGCTCTCTAATAAGATGATCTTGGTCTGTGAATGGACCTAGTGCATCCAATTCACTAGACACAGCTCCTTGGTCATTCTTAAACAGTATTTAAATTGGAAAAAAAAATAAACAACTGGAATACAGGATCCTCAGTCATCAGCAACAAAGCTGAGTATTTCACCAGTTACTTTCTTGACCATGATTATTAAATAACTCCAACAGGACTAAATGAAAGAGCTCCGTACCATAACCATCAAGAACTTTGCAGCAGAGTTGTCCAAACCTGGCAATGGTTCACATCTTTGATCTAATTCAGAAAATCAGGGAAATAATCTTGGGTCTCTCATTTTCTCATGAAAGCTCTGATCAGTGTGCTGATAGCTATAATGGGCACATCAACACTCTTGTGTATGCTTTACTCACACTTCTCTTACACTCTCTCCCTTTACCCTTCCTTCTTGGGAAACAGCAGTATGTAAGTAAAACAAACAAGCAAACAAACAAAAACCCCCAAACTAACAAACAGAAAAGGTAGGGAAAGATATTTACTTCCCTGAGAGTAATCACTTCTTTCTCCTGAGATGCCTGTATGGGACACAGGTCCCCTGTGTTTTTGAACCTCCTTCTTATTGCCCTTAGTGTTGCCTCCCTTATATTGTGTGGTGGGCAATTTATTCAGGATCCAGGATCCTTCCTTTTGCCAAAGCCCCAAGAAATTCTTCTTCGCTACCCCTAATCCACTCACTTAGCAAACAAGGGCTGCCTCACTTTTTTTTTTTTCTGAATCTTTCATATCTCTAGCACAGCTGTTTTGAAGAACTAGTCAGCACAGACCTCTTCACCTGTCACTATAGATCTCTTCTTCTCCACACCTTCCAATTGCACATTCATTTCTGGGTTCTTGCTTCATGGAGCCATCTTTGTCAGCATCTGCCTTCGCCTCCCAGATTCCCAGCCCCATGACTTCTGGATTTTTTTCCCTCCATGGAGGATGTGACCTGCTCCTGGTGCAACAGCTTAACACAGCTATACATCACTCCACCAGAAATCTCTTACTTTGTAGCAACGGTTTCTCTTGCCTGTCTTTACTCTTACAATAAGAATAAAGTTCAAGCCATAGGATGGCTTTTAGACTTGTGAGTCAGATGATCTGCTCTCTAATGCATGTCTTCTTCAACATTGACTATGATGGAAAACTAGCTGTCACTTCAGTCTGGATGTCTACATTTTGTTGAACAAAATTAGAGCACTGGTTTTCAGGTTACACCTATGATGACAAATGAATTAATATTGAACTGGTGGTTGAATTCTGAATGAATTCTGAAGTCCACAGATTACTTCTAAGCAGTCTGTGACAGGTCTAAAAGGAAAGCAAGTTTTAAAATGTTATAATGCAATAAAATTCTGTGACAACTCTAAGAAAGCACAGACAGAAAAGGTTAAAACCTACTGCGCTGTATCTATTTTATTACAATGATGATCACATTGTATCGTTTACTCTTAACAAAAAAACATATATCAGAGTGCAAGAATAGGCCCTGACCATGACCATACAGTCATCCTGTAGCACATATTATAAATCTTCCTAATCTTGCATTCCAAATGTTTCATTTTCATGCATGGCTTTTAGAGAATTCTTTGCTATATTAGACAGACTATTAAAGTGCCTGCTCTTGCTGCCTTAGCTACTTGCCCTTCACATTTTAAGAATTACTTTAAAAGTCATGGTCTGTGTCACTGTGGGTACCTATATTTAACAAGAGAAAAAGGATAGCTGGAGAGGTCTGCTTAGCTTAGGTGACTGGGACATGAAAAGTGCATCTTGAACTAGTAGCTTTAATAACCACCCAACACCTACCACGCCAAAGATGAGCACCAACATGAAGTTGTAATAATTACATTAACAGAAAAAAATAAAAAATTGTGTGGTACCTGAGCTTTGTGTGGGTTTTCTGCCTAAGAATAAATTTTAGCTGAAACAAGTCACCTGCTATGTTGGTTTTAAACAACTGTTTTTTCCAGTGGCTGCAGACCTCTGGGCTTGGTCAGACTGTTACTGAAGTTGCTTTTGTGGTTTGGCCACCAATTCCAATGCCTTTTAGTAAGTGCCAAAAAAAGAACCTAAACTTGACAACAGCCTTAAAAAATGCCTGTAGTCTACTAACGGTCTCATAGATGTGACACACATTATGAATCAACCCCATAAATCTGTCCCCCAGAAGGATTTATTCTGCCTTGAACAGAAGCTCCCAGTGAAGAAGTTCCTCAGGATCCAAATCTCTCGACCCAAAACAAGCTGCTCCTCAACTGCCTTGCAGTCAAAGCGAATTACTCTTGGGGCACGGCTTTCATGTTCCCACTTCTCCCAGATAAACTTCCATACAAACCGAAGAGGCGGGAGGGCGGAGGAACGTGCTCTTTCAAGCCTTATCCAAATCCTTCCCGCTCCCTCCTGGTTTTACAGCGGTGGCACCAGCGGGTG